CCCCAGCCGTGCTGCTGAGAAGGGGCTTGTCTTTGTCCCTGATTACCTGCGAGGTTGATTTAACAAGGAAGTTAAGTGGGTCGGGGGTGGAAAAACTCCCAACAACCCTTCTCAGCCCATCCTCTTCTTGTGGACTCCAGCAGCCGTGGACAAACTGCTCAGACATTCCTGTGCTCAACCTACTGGCATGAGGCAATCTGGTGTGAGGAAATAACTCCCTTTTAACGCAGCATTTGGGGTGCGCAGACCTGGTCCTGGTCATTATATATGTTTGCAAATCATCCCTCTTCAACGTCCCAGGGTTGTAGTGTTGTTTAATGAAACATGCCAGCTTCTAGGGATTGTTGGTGCTGGAGTTAAGCTTTGTATTTTCTTATTCTTGCCCTTTCCAATGAACGGCTAGAAATTAAGTGTAAAAAATAAAAAACTAAGGAGTCCACAATCCTGCCTCAGACTGTTCAAGGGAAATCCACCTCCAGCACACCCAGTGTAGGAGATCATGAGCCAGTGTTTTCTTTTCCCAACAGACCAGCAAGGAAGTGGCGGCTTTGTTAACCGGGCTGAATGTTGTTCCTCGGCCAAACCGGACCTCCACGTACCGACCGCAGCCTGGCAGCAAAGTCCCGGACACGGTGGACTGGAGGGAGAAAGGATGCGTTACGGATGTGAAGAATCAGGTGCAAAGCTCTCTCTGCGCCTCTTCGTGTCTTGGTCCCATGCTCGGTCTGAGCATCTCTGGGGCTTTTGCAGGGCTCCTGTGGGTCGTGCTGGGCGTTCAGTGCTGTGGGAGCCCTCGAAGCCCAGGTGAAGCTGAAGACGGGGAAGCTGGTGTCTCTGAGCGCCCAGAACCTCGTTGACTGCTCCATGATGTACGGGAACAAAGGCTGCAGTGGAGGTTTCATGACCGGAGCTTTCCAGTACATCATTGACAACCAAGGGATTGACTCAGATGACTCCTACCCCTACACAGCTCAGGTAGGCATCAGACCTAGACAGCACATGAAATCTGCAGGAAAACACATGAACATGGAAGCAACGTGGCCATTTGTTCTGCTCTCCTGTGTAGACACTTTTCTCCTCCTCTTCCACTGATTTCCCTCTGTCTTGGTTTCTGCCAGTCTCATGTCATCTCTCAGCCTTTGCAGCTCATTCTTTCAGACCTGGGGAAGGGACCTTCAGACTTTTTTTTTTTTTTTCCCTCATAGGTGAATGACTGGACTGGGAGCCAGAATTCCTATATGTTTATTTCTGTCCTACAAAAATGATTAGGCAACATACTACACAGAAGGGAAAAATGGGACAGGAGTCCTGGGTCCTGTTCTCAGCTCTCTGTATTATTCCACCTTCTGTAGTTGAAAAATGGGATATTGATATTTCTACCATTTCAGTGGGCAGAGGTTTCTGGTGAACAACGTTCATACAATTGCTTTTTTTTTTTAAAGTTGCCTGTAACAGATGCTGTATGACTGCTGCAAGATCATAAGCAAAGAGCCATAGGAAAATAAAGATCCTAATGCTGAGAGTCTAGATGGCCAGAGACAAAGAGATGCCCTGAAATGACCTGGTGTCTTAAAAACAGGTCAAAGTAACAGCAGCTTAGTCCAGGAAAGAAAAGTGGAATATAAATCTTCAAACATACATAGGGCAGCTACAGAGACGAAAGTATCTGTTCTCTGTGTCCAGAGGGAGAATGAGAAGCCCTGGGCTTAATTTACAATAGAAGAAATTTAGGTTAAACATGAGTCTTCAGATGGGAAGGGCGAGGAAGCAAGGACAGTTTCTCTAGGGAAGTGGTAGAAGTGTTGTCATCAGAGGTTTCTAGAAAAAAGGCAGATAATTCTGTTGAAATGGTTTGGCTGCTCTTGGTGTGGGGAAGCGAGATGGACAAGACGGTCTCTTCAGGTCCTTCCAGCCATCTTTTCTGTAATCTGGTGTATAGAAAAATGGTGGTCAAAGAAAAGCGAAGAACGGGGTAGCACAGGGTAAAAGAGGGCTGATAGAAAACACGTACCTGAAAGTCTTGAGATGTTCCTGGTGGATTCTTCACGCTCCTCTTTTCAACTCCTCCTGCTCCTACCAGAATGGCACATGTCAATACAATGCTTCCACACGAGCCGCCACTTGCTCCAAATACGTTGAGCTCCCATACGCCGACGAAGAAGCCCTGAAAGATGCTGTAGCCAACATCGGACCAGTCTCTGTTGCCATTGACGCCACCCAGCCCACCTTCTTCTTGTACAGGTCAGGTATGTCCTTTTACCCCGGAGATCTTCTCCATGGTCTTCTGTGTCTTTCTGCACATAAAGCTTGTGAAATTTGGTGGAATTTGACAAGTTGGGGCTTAATTCCTGGATGAAAGCATCGATGTGACAAAACCTAAGATTTCAACGTTGGTGGCTATGCTGAAGGTTGAACTCAGTCCCACTGACGACTCAAAAGATGAGGTCTTGTGGTCTGATGACATGCTTCCAAACTCCTTTTCTTCCAGGTGTGTATGATGACCCCCGGTGCAAACAGGAGGTGAATCACGGAGTGCTCGTGATCGGCTACGGCACCCTAAACGATAAGGATTACTGGCTTGTGAAAAACAGGTAGAGGCGTGACTGTATCTCGCTGAACTCTTGTTATCTATATGCTCACTATCCATAGGGATAGGCTTCTCCTAGGTAACCTCCCACTGCTCAAACTGACATCCTCACAATTTTATAACGACTGATATTTATACAGATGAGAGGGAGATCAGTTGGGTGCTTGTGCAATGGGGGTTGTTATGGAGTTGAAAGTTGGTATTAGTCCTTAAACTATTCACTAAGGATTCATGCTTAGCCATGTCAAAGCACCTTTATGTTATCCTAGCAGTGTGAAGGAACTTTAAATGCATTTAAAATACACTTACACCCACCTTAAGTTCCCTTTATGTTGGTAAGTGTTGTCGTAACTTAATACAGGATTAGAAATCCCATGAAGCTGTTAATGAAAACACTGCAATGCTGTGATGTTGATAAAGCCGCCGCTTCACTTGCAGAAAAAGGAATTTAATATTTCTCATGTCTGTTTGTTTGTTTCCTGTCCCAAAAGTTGGGGTGTGCGCTTTGGTGACGAGGGCTATATCCGCATGTCAAGAAACCACGCGAACCATTGCGGGATCGCCAGTTATGCCTCCTACCCGCTCATATAGACGGACCCTGCGCTTCAGAGGGGACACCTGAGGCTTCAGTGAAACCACTGATGCTGCGCTTGCATGGATCTACTGACTTCAAGAATCATTTTCTGGCTCTATGGGCAAATTCATTCTGTTAGATCAGCCTGTCTTCCAGGCTGGGAGGGAGTCCTTTGCGTGGGAGGATTTTGGAATATGACTTACAGGCACCTAGTGACTTCTTTTTGGGGAAAAAAGGGGTTTTTTTTCCCAGATTAAAATTGCAATACCTACAGTTGTAACGGAGATTATTTTTTCCTCTCTCCAGTTTAGCACTGAGTACTGCTACGATGACGCAGATATGGTTTTATCTCCATGTGATGTTGATGAAATTGCAGAATTTCTTTGAAAAATAAAAGATCAATTTCACCGTCCAAAAATCCTATATTTGGTCTCTGGAGGCAGGAATGGGTGGCAGAGGGAATTCCAGCTGGTACTTTCTCATCTGGCAGTGGTCCCCCATCTAAGGACCTCTCACGAAACCTCCCCACAAATGATGTTTCTCTCCAAACGACGTCTATGATTTGGGAATGGAGGATACAGACCATCGCACCGCTGCCAGAAGTGTGGGGGGAGAGAAGGTAGCTGATATCCGTGGTTTCACGTTGATTGACGCAAGTTCTCACGATGATGATATCAAAATATAAATGCTCTCACCGGCACTTCAGCTCCATCGCACCCACGCAACACAACCCACCATCGTACACAGCACTTGCTTCCAACAGAGATGGTAAAACCAATTCTGAAGGAAAAAGGTTTTCATTTTAAACCTTTTGGTTGAGATTGCAAGCTCAGCAACGCTTTTTCTTTAAATGTATTTACTATAGGCTTTAAAAAACGACTTGTGGGTTGTTTCAGTGAAAAACATAGAGAATCAGTTTTATATTTAGCCGGGCGCCTGAGGTGCCACTGCCACCTTGGGGCAGATGGGGGAATTGAACACGTCTCCACCTGCAAGGTGACATTTGAGAATGCTCACATCACCTACCAACATTGTCACATATTGGCCTCTACAGTTGTGTTTGAGCTCTCCAGATGGGTTATTGTTGGGGTTTTCAATCCTTTTCCCAAAGCATTGCTCACTCTTAAAACCCTATCGACTGAAGACGTCTCCTTCCCAAGCACGGACGTCTCTGTAGACCGCTGAGCACGTGCAGCTCCAGCTCTGTCCTTGGAAGGGGATCAAATACCGTCGTATCTTCAGCAAAAACATCAACCAGCAAAGAGCGGATGGGCCAAGACCCTCATCCAACAAAGGAAAAAAAAATATATTTTGACTTAACACAAACATAGAAACTGGGGGGGCTCTGGGAGGGTATCAGGGGCATCGGGAGAGTTCTTGTGGGTTCTGGGTGGGTATAGGTGGCACTGGGAGGGTCTTGAGTGGCTCTTGGGGGTCCTGAAGAGTTTTTAGAGTGTGCTTGGGTGCTCAGTGGGGTTACTGGGAGGTTCTGGGATGGCTTTGGGAGCTCTGGGGTGTTCTGGAGGCTTGGGGGTGCTCTGAGGGCATACAGAGGACACTTGGAGGGTCCTTGGGGGCTTTGGAGGATATGGGAGGGCTCTGGGAGTGTATGGAGGATATTGGGAGGGTCCTGGGGGCTCCGGTGGGTACTGGGAGGCTCTGGGAGGGTCTTGGAGGATACTGAGGGGCCCTGGGAGGGCTCTGCTGAGGGTGCTGGAGAAAGTTGGAGTGTCCTGGGTGGCTCTGTGATTTACTAGGGGCTCTGGGAGGGTATTGAGGGACTTTTTAGGGTTGTGGGGATCTGGGAAGGTATTGGGGGCACTAGAAAGGTCCTGGGGTTTGGGTGGGTACTGATGGTGCTGGGTGGGTCCCTCCTCGGGCTGTCTTTGCATCCCAGAGCACTCTTTTTGTCCTCTGCGCTGATTAGGACGCCTCTGTTCAGTCCCTCGCCCTATGAGAACTGATGTTCTCTGCCCAGACCCCATCTCAAGTTCCTCCTTTCCTCCCCAAGCTTTCTTTTGTACCGGCCTTAGGACCCTTTGAGTTCCCTCACAAGTCATTCTCTGGCTTTCCTTGTGCCCCAGAGGACTCTGTGCCTTTTATTCTCTCTGGGACCCCTGTTTTGGTCCTTCAGCCCCTCTAGAACATTTAACCCAAGCCCAAAACAGAGCCTAGGACCAACACGGTCCCCCAGCTATGGCTCCCACACAAAAGGGGTACGACTGAAAGCTTTTTGCAGCTGTCACCTTTCCTTGGCAGCCCTTTCTCAGCCCCCAAACATTGGAGGTCTTTGCTTTCTCTCTCCAAAACCTAACCTTCACCCCAAGAGAGAGCCCAGGAAGGACACAGCCCCCCCATCCATGGCTCCCACGCAAAAGCAGCCAAAACTACAAGCTTCTGGCAGCCCTCGCCCTTCCTCATCAGCCCCTTCACAGCCCCACAAACACTGCAGGCTCTGCCCTTTGTCCCTCAAAAAAACCCCCTAGCCCTCACCCCAAACCCAACCCTTCAGAAGGCCACAGCAAAGCCTGGCGAAGGTGCCACGGCTCTCCGGAGGGCAGCAGGGCCCCTCGCAGGCCACGGTAAAGCAGTATGTTTGTTTTAATGTAACTGGTTGCAGATGGGCCTCCTGCAGGCCAAGCCCTCCTGGCCCTCAGGGAAGGCCCAGGGCGGGAAGGCGGTGCCGCGCTCTGCGCATGCGCGGAGGCCCCAGCCGGGCGCCGGGAACTACATTTCCCAGCGTGCCTCGCGCGGGGCA